CCCTGACATTCTGTGATTCTGTGAAAGTCAGCGGGAGTTTTATCTTCAACTTAAATGGAAGCCCGTTGAGACCTTCAGCTGTAAACACCATTTCTTTAACTTTTGTACTTTTTTTCTTCATTAATTCTTTAGGTTGATTTTGGATGGGGCTCCTCTTATAGCTATACATAAAGCCAGATATTTTAAGAAAAAAGATGGCTTGGCTCTGGGACCTGGACCTTTTGTAACTGGACTGGAATATGCGACGGACACCAAAGCGACAGTGGTGGGGAAGCCAGAGAAAACCTTCTTCCTAGAAGCTCTGCGAGGGACTGACTGTGCCCCGGAGGAGGCCGTCATGATTGGTGATGTACGTGGGGACCAAATACCCCATCACCTGCCTGTTAGCCTAGTGCTCATCTCCACGTGCTCATCTCCACTCTGTGTCGTGCCTCCCAAATGCCATGAACTGATCCTTCTAAAAGCACTGGGGTTAAACGAGGGGTAAAAGTTAAACTATCAAAAATTGCAGGAGTTAATATTTAGTCCATGGGGTAGTTGTTTTATTTGAGTCGCTATTTGATCAGGCAAAAAGCACGTAATAAAGAAATAATTGTGTGTAACAAACAGCTAAAAGGTTTTGACTCGCTGTAGCTGCTTTTAAGTGGCTGGTTAGTGATTTGTAAAGCAGAGAACGTCATGAAAAACTTAACATGTTAATTGTGTCCGTGATCACTAACTACCTGATGTCCTGTTCTGTCCCAGGACTGCAGGGATGATGTTGGTGGCGCCCAGAACGCGGGCATGCGTGGGATTCTCGTCAGGACTGGTAAGTACTCGATGGAGCAGTCATTTCCTGCTTTGTCAGGGGGGTTGGACTGGATGATCTCCTGAGGTCCCTGCCAACCCCACCATTCTGGGATTGTGTAATTTTGGGAGACAGCAGCGCAGTCAGTGATCTGGCTCTGGGTACAGGCAGCCCCGTGCCCAAAGTGAAGCTGTGCTCTGAGCCCTGGGTCTGGCCCCAGTGCTTTGTAGAGACGTGCCATGGCTGTGGTTTGTCACACCGAGGGGCTGCTGGGACACCCCGAGTCCATCACTCCATCATTTTGGGGTGAATGCAGCAGATACATTTCCTCAGCCGCAGCGTGGCAGCCTGTCAAGCAGTAGATTGTGTTGAAGTCAGGATAGAATCATGGAATCACAGACTGGTTTTGG